CTTAACTCCTGACAGAGAAACAGAAAAGTGATGCTCGAACAAAAAGGATCATTTTTTTTACCTCCTTCAATTAGTACTCACTGTAACGTGGGAGCTATGAGGGCTGAAAACCCTGAGAATCACAGTGTCAAATAACTTTGGAGCACGGCAACTCGTCTCCATTTATTCAAAGAAATCTCTTCTCTTCTCTCCATACAGGGGAGGAAAAACAAAACAAAAATCTATCAGGCTCAACATGGCTACCACAAGAGTACTGCCCTTTTTTCAAAGTCAAAGCACACAAGATAAACCTCTCTTGCAGGCTGTTATAAAACCCGGTGCTGAGCTTCCAGGACCAGTTTCACCTTTTCAGATCTGTTCCTTTTATTGCCTGGAAGTAATCCATCAGGTGGGTTTCTGAATTTTATGCATTATTGCAGAAATATCACCCACCAGGGGTTTCTGGCTAAATCCAGGCAGGAGAGCGGGTGCTGGATGCAGGACCATGGTTCCACCTCACTGGATGTCTTCCTTCCTCTCTTCCTCTTCCTTCGCACCCGGATCCGACGCTCAGAGCCGGCGCTAGAGGCTCCGGAGTAAATTGAGTACTATATCGCCCGCCAAAGCGCCTTTTTCGGCCGGTCGTTGGTTAATAGCTCCGCGGGGGGACGTCCCAGGAGCTTGCAACCACCTCCAGTTTGTAGAGGAGGACCGCAGCTTTCCAGAGTCATCTCACTTGGATCCGATGGTCAGAGCCCGCGGGAGAAGCAAACAAAGGTTGAAATTTCCTCCCAAAAAAATGCACGTAAAATGCACTAAGTCATGTGTAATTTGCTTATAGCTCCGCGGGGCAACGTCACAGAGACTGCATTCAAGTATCAGCTTATAGGACAACCAGAGCTTTAAAACCCGACCAGCCACTCCGGGATTCTATGCTCCTAGCCTGGGCAGGGGGGCTAAAATCACCTCCAGCGGAGGTGCGACGGAGCGTAATTTTGGAGGTTTTTCACTTATATCTCCGCGGGGGAACGTTGCAGGGACTCCAATCAACTTTCTACTTGTAGGGGAGAGCCAGGGCTTTAAAACCCGACCAGCCACGCTGGGATCCGACGCTCCAAGCCCGGGAGGGGAGCTAAAACCACCCCGGCAGGAGGTCCAACGGTGCGTATTTTGGAGGTTTTTTTTGCTTATAGCTCCGTGGGAGAATGTCACAGGGACTTCATTCAACATTGTAGGGCAGAACCAGAGCTTTCCAACAACACCAGCCACTCTGGGATCTGACGCTCAGAGCCGGCGCTAGAGGCTCCGCAGCATGGTTGTGCTTCACGGGCACCTGGGAACCAGCTGGCGGGRGACCAATCGCCCGCGAGCGACTGGTTGGGCACCCCTGATATAATGTATATCAAAGGTTGTTGTTTGAAAAGGAATTGAAGTTTTTATTTTTGTTTTTGATTATTATTGTTTGAAATAATTTTTGGAAAAAAGTGGCAGATATTATAAGATTTTTTCTTCTTTCTGCCTCCTTTCATTTCAAGTGTGATTTTTTTCTTTATTGTGTATAAAATGTTTATTTTTATATGAAATGAATAAATGAATTAAATAAATATTAGCCAAAAAATGAATATCAGATTATATCGGCCTGCATTGAAAATCTCCGATATTAGCACAAGACTTTTAAAGAATCCACAGTACAAAATGTAATAAAAATATATATAATTTGTTATAAAATTTTATCGGTTCAATATTGGTATCATTTTGTGGAAAAAATGTATCAGGACCCCTCTAGCAGCTAGACTAAATGTTGCCTAAATATTCTGGTATTTACACTGAAAATACAGATGAAAGTAAGTGTTTATATACTCAGGGTGTAACAGTACATGAATCTGTACCATTACAGTTCAGTACAGACGATGATGAAGACACCAGTCCTGGTCCTGGTGGACCTTTAACCAATCCTGCCTGACCTCTCTGCAGCAGACACCTGCCTGGTTCCTTCAGATCTGCTCTGTAATGAACAAAACTCCACAGTGCCACTAATCACAGTGTAAAGAAACCCAAAACACATTACAGTCTAACTTTCTGCACAACCAGATGCAAGACTGCTTTGAGCAGAACTGTGAGAACTGTGCTTCAACGCTCAAACATTGGCTCTTTGTAGCAACTAAAACTCAAACACCATGAGGCCGAAGAAAAACGTCCCCCTGCTGAACAAACTATAAAACATTTGTATTGTCACAGCTGTACCATGCTTTACTGCTGCACAGAGACAAAGTACTGAGAATTAAAATTTCAACTACAATTTGTATCAAGATTCAATTTTGATGTTGACACGAATAATAAAAATATCAGAAAAAKTGCCAAGAACACCAATATTTACTGTACCTACAATCCTGATGTCATTTAAGAAATCTTTTATTAAAAATCATGACTAGTCAGAACAAAAGGCGAGATATCTAATTTACTTTATAGCTAATTAGTTAACACTAGTTTTTTATATCTGAATATATGTTTCAGGTAGTCAGTAATTTTTTGCAGATATCTTTAATAAGAGTGAAGGAAAATTTATTCTGTTTACTACTGATTTTTAAATGCATCACATACTGTTTTATTCCTAGGAAAATTATGGGGTTTAGTGATGTACATAGGGCTGCCACGATTAGTCGATTAGTCGACGACTAATCGATTATTAAAATAATCGATGACGAATTTAATAATTGATTAATCATTTTCTTTTTTGTTGTTGTTCTTTACTTTGTTTTTCTCTCCAAACTGCTTTGACACCTTCCACTGCCACATCTGCRTTTCTGTCCTTGACACACATGCACAGTAGTGGTAACTGGGGTAGGCCGTGGACGTCACAAGACATTATACAGACAGGCTCTGGTATCATGGCTACCTGACAACAGAGCTCAAAGTGTGGGATCATTTTAAGAAAATGAAAGAYAAACCTGTGTAATATCTGCAGAGCAGAACTTACCTTCCACAGCAAATATTTTTAGTTAGCATTTAGCTAAAATCTAACCATGGTTATATAATAGCAGCTGCATTCTGGCGTGATAAGCTGTATGTTTTATATTCAATTAATGTATGATCCGATTAGTCCACTAATCTAAAAAAATAATCAGTGATTAATCGATTATAAAAATAATCGTTTGTGGCAGCCCTAGATGTACAGACTGTTTTCAGTGGCTTATGTCAGAGTATGCTCTTTCAATATGAGTAGTTAACACACCCCTGGAGCATTTACAACATGTAAATATTTTAACATTCGAACTCAGTTCTCTGTTGTCTAAGGGTTTCTGGTCACATGGTAGGGAGAGCACCCAATCGCTGTGACAGCTTGCCTCTAGGAAGTGACCAGAACTGGAAGAGAGTGTAAATATGTGACCTCCCTTCCTTGATCGGGGCCATTTTGCAGAATAAAACCTGTAAGTGGCTCAGACGGTTGGTTTGTATGTGTTTCTTGCTAACATTCAAGTCTTACTTCTGTATTTGCTCCTTTGTCCTCGACACACACCAAAGTGTGTGAACACGACAACATCTTTTCAGAAGCCTCCATACAACTTAAACAGTGAATTTTAAAAACTTGGTCAAATTTTCCATTCTAAAACTTGTTTTAAACACCTCGAAATGGACACCTCCTCAGGTGCTCAGTGAGTGTTTGGTTCCTGTTAAAGCAACAGGGTCAGTAACTCGTGGAGCAGACAGTGAGATCTGTAAAACTTCCTTGGGTCAAACAGCTTTTTCTGCTGGAGAGATTAACATGTGGAATTATCCCCCCACAGATTTAAAACTAATGTCTGATTGGAACCACTTTAGAACAAGACTGAAGCCTTTTCTGAGGGAGACCCAGTAAATATCTGCCACCTTTTAATGATATTATTATGATCTGTTCCTAAGTTTGTTTTATAATTTATGATCGT